GTGTGTATAAGTATGCATAAGGATACGTACATACATACATGTAGATATGTTATATATATACATATATCTGTTTATATATGCACATATATACATACATACATATATATATATATATATATATATATATATATATATATATATATATATATATATATATATATATATATATATATATATGTAAAGATAGAGGGACACATATATAAGTATATATATATATGCAAATATATACATATATATCTATATATATACCCATATATATGTATATTTATAAATATATGTTCATATATATATGTGTGTGTTTGTGCGGGTATTTCCCCGTGTATATATATATATATATATATATATATATATATATATATATATATATATATATATATATATGTAATAAGGATACATACATGCATACATGAATGCGTAATATATATAATTCATATATACGTATGTTTGTGTTTGTGTGTATGTATTTATGTACCTATAATATATTATAATATACATATATATATATACTGTGTATGTACATATATGTATATTTACATATACATTCGTATGTGTATATATAAATATTCATATATATATATATATATATATATATATATATATATATATATATATATATATATATATATATATATATATACACACAAGAATATAAACACATACATATATATATATATATATATATATATATATATATATATATATAATATATATATATATATGAATACACATTCCTATTTAATGATGCTCAGAAAACTTGAATGCAATTGAAATATATGCAGAAAAACGTTTATGTTTTCAATATATTTCTTTTGGAGATTAATGCTGACACGTCCTATATTTGCAAACGCAAAAGGAATTATAATCTAATACGATATTTCATGTGAAGCAGAATCTCCTTTAGTCCTAAATGTAAATCATCAGCAGAGATTGACGAATTTTTGCCGATTGACAAATTTTGAATGGAAAACATAGCGTAAAAATGTTTTCACAGGTGGTTCTTTAGTAGGAACAAGAGTTCTTCCTTTCCAAAGGTCGTACGGCATTCTGAGGGATATATAAACTTCGCGGACGATTTCACATCACCAGTGGTAGCTATCCTTGGTGAGTAACACTTCTCATACCTCTTACCTGTCACATAATCTGTGCTATGGTACAATTTTGCAATGTTTTTATGTAGTATAAATGCGTACTCTTATAATGGATTTTTTTTCATCCCTTACTTATCATAATCCCTTCGTTATTTCATCTCTTCATTTCACCCTGGAAACTCTAAAGCGGGCTCTTTCTCACTATTATTACTGTATAGGTTCAGGTTTGGGAAATGATGTATTTCAAGATCTGTCACTTTCATACCTCTTAATTAGTCACATTTCCTTCTAGATCACACCATGTTCACTTGGCTGATGCTCTCCTGCCTCTTAGGCTTCTCCCTGGCTGAGGTTCAGGTATGAACACGCTCTTGATATGCATGTTTAAGCAAGAAATTATTACCTTTTCTCTCACATCTACAACAGTTCAGTTTATCTCTCATGTGAAGCATACTTAATATTACAAAAATGACCGTTTTTTTGGTAGGATTACCAAGTATGTTACAAGGGAAATAGCGCCGCTGAAAACAGCTGCATGAAAGTGGATGTAGACCGCCTTGCCATGAAAATTCACTTCCACAATGACGAACGTGGAAACACTGGAGGATTATAGTGTGGTAAGTAATACTTGTCAGGTCATCAATGGATTCAATGATGAACTTTATGTTATTGTTTTGAACTGATAATGCATGAGAAATTCTTCAATTTGTTCAATTCAGTATTTAATGACCAGGGGAAATAACCATAAATATCTCAATATCTTCGCAGGGTCTAGCAGCATCTCGAGTTGTGTCCCAGGAAGCGTGTTACGTGAGGCGACTGGTTAAATCTTTCGAGCAACAAGTAGCCTTCATCAAAGGCCATCAGGATGATGGCATGAGGGTTGAGTCTGACGTCAGAGTTTCCGCTGTTTCCCTTGACAATCCTGAGGAGGAGATCGGCTCGGATCTTGCCAACTTCTGTGGCGACCTTCCCGTTTACAAACTGGTCACTGAAGAACAGAATGACAGTGTACAAGACCGTCGTCAAGTGAGCGTCACCTTCACCCGCTGCATCCTGCTGTGTTTCATTCCCAGGTGCTTCACCACCACGCTCACGCTCCCCACTGGCTCTACCATCACCTTCGGGTGGCTCTTCTTTGGTTAAAATGACTGTTGAAGGAGCATTATTCTCCTTTCACTTTGGGCAAATAGGCGGCTCTTTTACCTGTTTCGATGGTGTACACTCACTTTTGATTAAAGGTAAATGCATTTCAAATTTTTCTATGCACATTTTTTTTTAGTATGTCATATGCGCAAGTGGGAACTCGCGTACATACATACATACACAGATCCACACACACACATACTTATACAAATAGACCGGCAGCCAAGGGAGGTTTTCTCAGACGAACTTGGTACCATTTGCTGAGTACAGGATCATGTAGAGAATGATAGGGCATATGAAGAACTGAACGTCTGCCAGGGACTCCCTGCTGCGTTTGGCCCCTGGCGACTCCCAAAAGGGGAAAAAAAGAAAAAAAAATCAGCTAGATCAAACATAGAGAGGTACCCCATAATTTATTTCAGGGTAATTTACATATCACATTGGGTAAAAAATGCTTCATGCCAGACACAATCTCTGCTGCAATAGGCCTGTCAGACGCCCAAAACGGGCGTAAAAGTTTGGGCTGGATCAAACATTATTGATACCACCTGAAATAAAGTTTATATACTTCAACACATCTGAGAGAGTGGAATAGACAATGCCAGACCAATTACCTGCCAGACACGCCCAAAAGTGACCCGCCCCCTCTGCTCTGGCAAAATTGATGTGTATGAAACATGAAAGATACTGAATGAAACTACTTTTGAATGAAAGGTAACATTCCACCAAGTACAAAGTGAGCTTTGCCAGACATACTGCCAGCTGTATTAGGACTACCAGACGCCCAAAATGGGCCAAAAATTTGGGCTGGATCAACACATTAGTACCACTTGAAATAAAGTTTATATACTTCAACACGTCTGAGAGAGTACAGAATGGACTATGCCAGACAAATTACCAGCTGCATTATGCCCGCCAGACACGACCACAAGTTGAAACCATGCAGTGTTCTGGCAAACTTGATGTAGATAAAAAATGAAAGGTACTGAATGAAACTATTATTGAATGAAAGGTAACATTCCACCAAGTACAAAGTGCTGCTGCTCTAAAATGCATATCAAACTTGTTTTTCACCTGAAGAAAAGATGAAAACTTTAGAGCTATCACTTTTTCGCATATGAATTCGCCTCCAAGAAGAAATAAAGGTCCCTCCTGATTAAAAACCGACTTATTGCCAATTAAGGGCTTGAGTGAGTTTACATCGTTATAAGTAAAGCTCTTCCTAGTCTTTGACTTTGACCATCTTCCCATGCCCCAGTAATCAAGTATGTTTTGGCATGTGATATCGAAATTTTGATTCGGTATCTTAACCTGTAAAAAAGTATCAATTTTTTCTGCACTTTCTCAAGTACGATAAATTTGGTTTGTGTTAAAATATTGTAGACTAGGACCGGCTGATCTATAATCTTTCTCAGACTAGGAATTTTCAGGATTCATAAAGAAAATTATAAACAAGTCTCTACCTTCAAAGTGGGTACCCCGAAAATTTGTATATGTGTGTGTATATATATATATGTATATATACATGTTATATGTAATACATGAATATATATATCTATATACATGTATACAATTTATGTATTTTCATACATTAAATCCTTATAGAATATCTGCTTGTATGTGGAAACCTTGTGCTTGTGTTTATGCGAATATAAAAGAAAATTATACAGACAAAATGAAAACGTCTATGCATGCAAAGGAGTGTGATGCTGCGCACCCGTGTGCAGCATCACAATATGCGGGGGAGCAGTGAGAACATCAAGAATCATGAACTTTTCAACGCTTTCCCGATTACTCCGGTGAACAGTGAGAATGTGCTGTATTTCTCCGACATTGTATGAAGATATAGATGTAACAGTTTTAGCATTACGTTTTTTTATGCAGTGAAACAAAAGAGTATGATGATGTAAAAAAAAAAAAATAATAATGGTTTGATTAGTTTTATTTTTTTTTAATAACAAATCAATTTGTTTTATATTAGACATAAGTAGTGGTTCCTTGGACAGAACTACACACCCCATGGGTACCCCCCTACGTACCAGACGTGTCATAACAGGAGGTGACCTAATGACTTCCGGAAGTAATTATCACAATGGATTACGGGTAATCAATAATCAATAACCGTGACTAATGAGGAAGAACACGCACGCCCGAAGGGTGCCCGCTCCTCTCCAAAGCAATAATAATAAGGAGTGAGAAAGAAGACGAAAAGAAACATGCACCCAGCTAACATAGGTCAAACTATCGACCTAAGACCACGTACCTGACGTGTCATAACAGGAAATAGGTCTAATGTAATAATAAGGAGAATAAGAGAAAGAAGAACAAACAAACATGCACCGAAGGGTACCCCCTCCTCCTCTCTAGAACAATAATAATAAGAAGAAAAGGAAGAAGGTGAAATCAGAAAGAAGTAGACAAACAACAAAACAAACATGCATTGTCCCGTACCCCAAACACACTATGGACAGAACTGCATACCTCCATGGGTACCCCTATAACCCCCTGAACATAATCGAGAAAATCAAGACTAATGTGGCCAAAACCAGAGCACCATGACCAGACCTGAGAGCCACAGGTTCCTCCTCTGAAGGAAGACGAAAAGAAGCAGACAAACAAACATGTACCCCGTTACAGGTGTTACAGGTGATCCACCCCTCCCCCTCAATCCCCACCGCCCTCCCCCTCTCGCCTTCCCCTCACCCAAACACAGTATATGACCTTGTGAAGCTCCCTTGGGTGCCCCTTACCCCTTACCTACGTATCAGACGTGTCATAACAGGAAGTAGACAATGGAGGGTGTTCCACCTCCCTCGTCTCAAAATAAATAATGATGGCTATTCCTCATGTCTGAACATACAAGAGGGAGAATACAAAGAGACAAATAAACAAACATGTACCAAGCTGCTGGTATAGGTCAAGGTATTGATCCAGTTGCCCCCCCCCTTCTCAGGTCGAAAGAGGACCATTTCTGGTGTGAGTTAGGTCACATAGCTATTCATCGTGCCTGAACTTGTAGCAAAAACAAACAAGTAGCACAAGAGGATCCCCTCCCCTCTCTAAAAGAGATGCGAAAACGATCATGGGTATTGATCCGATAATTATATGTAGCCTTCTATCGTGTCTTACCAAGCAGGTTTTAGCTTTAATGCTAAGGCATCCCAATAAGAAAACAATCCAAGGAAAAGGGTGATTAAATCGTTCTGTGCGTTATACCTTCTCCAAATATAAACTAGCACAAACAGACATGCTTAAATCATACTTGGACCCTACATCCATCTCCTGCGTTAACTAAAAACTGCGATCTTCCTCGTCGCTGATAAGGTTAGCGATGATTACCAAGTTGCCATGCACGTCGCCTCTCCGGGATGAGATAGGGCAACATCGATGAGTGCTTGGGGAATGGGAATAATGCATGTTTGTTTGTTTGTCTACTTCCTGTCTTCATCTTCCTTTTCTTCTTCATTTCTTCTTATTTTTTTTAGAAAGGAGGGAGGGGGCACTCTCTATGTTGGTAACTGGGTGCACGTTTGTTTGTTGTTCTTCTTTCTCTTATTCTCCTTAGTATTATTGTTTTGCAGAGAAGGGGACATTTTTTGGGTGTACGTATTCCCCTCATTAATCACGGTTATTGATTTTCAGTAATCGATTATGATAATCACTTCCGGAAGTCATGTCATACATGTAGGTAATAGGTAGGGGTTATGTCCAGGGTGTGTGAGGTAAGGGGGTGGGGGTGAGGGGTGGTGGAGATCCTGCTGTGACACCTGGTCTTAGATAGATAGTTTGACCTATGTCAGGTATGTAGGGGTAGGGGGTACCCATGGGGGTGAATAGTTCTGTCCATTGTGTGTTTGGGGTATGGGGATAATGCATGTTTGTTTGTTTGTCTACTTCTCCTGTCTTCATCTTCTGCCTTTTCATCTTCTTCTTCCTCTCCTCTTTTTTTCTTGTCTTCTTCTTATCGTTATTGTTCTAGAGAAGAGGAGAGAGTATCATCCATGTTGGCATCTGGGTGCGTTGTTTATTCTACTTCTTTTCTTCTCTTTTTTCTCCTTAGTATTATGTATATACACATACATACATGCAAACACACACACATATACGCATATATATGTGTTTGTGTGTGCATATATATGTGTGTGTGTGTGTGCGTTTATATTCATCATACATATTTATATTTTTTTTTTAAATTTATATATACATTTTTATAAACCTATTTAATTATATATATATATGTGTGTGTGTGTGTGTGTGTGTGTGTGTGTGTGTGTGTGTGTGTACATACATACGGATACATATATATATATATATATATATATATATATATATATCGTATATATGTGTGTGTGTATACAGTCTAACACATGTGTGTGCATATTTCTATGCATTTGCGCGCGCGCATGCGTGTGTGTATACATATGTTTTTTTATGGATAAGTGCGTATATATATATATATATATATATATATATATATATATATATATATATATATATATATATATATTATATGCATGTACTCGTGTATAATGAAACGGAAAGATAGAGAGATATGCATGTATACATTTTATGATTTGTATGCAATCATTGGCTTTCAAATAGGTGTAAAACATGTCATTTGATAATTGGCTATATTATTTAAGATTTCTTAATAATTTTTTTCGTTTGCGACAACGATTTTCAGTCTTTTTTTTTTCTTTCTTTCTTTCTTTTTCTTTTGTAAAAATACTTCAAATTGAAAAATCATGAAGATGATTAACTCACCAACTTCATCTGCATAGCCTTTTGCCGAGAATTAAATTGCTGTAGCCTTATATTTACATCTTTCTCAATCAATGTGCCGTGAAAACACGGAAAGAAAAAAATAAAGTAAAAATATGGAAAAAGTCCCTTTAGGAAAACATGAACTTTTGATTTCTGAGACAAGTTCAAGCAATTAGAAACCAAACTAGATTTACTTCCCTACAACTATAAAACACAATGGAAGTAGTTCACTCTTCCAAGTTGCATTATGTTAAAATAGGGCTACTAACTCCAACATATATTTAAATTGGCTCTAGATAAAACTGCCTAGATCCAACAAGGATTCTTTAAGATGGATACATCTCAAGGATATTTTTTAAGAGTATTGGCAAAGGAATAGTGAGTTTCTTATCGCTATATTTTGTCTCTCTGTACACTCACAATTTTCTTCAATATCATTCATGAGTTTTAAGCATTCTTCATATCCTGGATGGACTTGTTAATCTGCACCTTCACGTTGGAAGCCATGGTTTTCTCCAGGATCTCTCGCAAAGCCTTCCTGAAGCCGGCGCTGTGAACGTCCTTCATATTGTTGCCGTCCAAGTTGCTTGCACTTTCAAGCAGGTCGTGACCCGATCTTGCGGTGTAGCTGGCGATGTTCTGAGGCACAAGGTTGTCCAAGTTGATCTGGATATCTGCGAACAGCTTGTCCACACGCTCTACAACCTGACCAGAAACAGTCTGGGCTGGAGCTTCTCCAACACCGGCAAAGGTTACCGTGTAGTCGGCGTTGGCACGAGCGTTTTCCACGACAACCGAACCGGAGAGCACACTCTGTAAAAATACATAATGTAGGTCACTAATAATCACTACTAAGAAATAGAATATCATTATTATCATGAAACTTCCTTTCAAAATTCTGAAGTTAATGAGTTAAATAAGTTAATGCCTTTAAGCTTATTTCATACATCTTTCTTTTCATTTGACATTCATACCTGGTCGGCGTTGAAGGAAGCGGACTTGGAGCGGCGCAGGGAGCAGAGTCCAGTCACGTTGGCCTTAGTGATGCTGAAGTTCTCGGAGCTGCTTCCGTCAGAGTTGACTTGGAAGGGCAGGCTTGACTCTCCATTCTGCACGTTTTTGGATCCACACCATCCTAGCGTTCTGTTAAAGGACAGCAGTTAGGAAGAAGACTAATGAGATCACTATATATGATAATAAGGAATGCTAACAGTGAAACAAAAATAACACCAAAAGGTCACTATCAATAAAACATTACTCCATGTATGCGATAGCTCCTTCGAGCACTGCGTCGAGTATCTGGTTGGGCGTAGTAGGGTTGGCGACGGCGCGAGGCAAGATGGGCTGAGAGTCTCCGCCGTCGGCAGGGAAGAGCCCAAGCTGGTCGTCCCATTGGTTGGGTCGTGCCACGCACACGGCCAAAGTCACTGCCAGGCTTACGATCCTCAACATTTTTACGTCTGCACAAATAGGATTTCAATAGAAAGAATAAAAAAAAATAAACAGAATTAAGAGTACAATTGTTATATGATTAGGGATGTATATGTACGCATATACAATATTCATTTGTACAACTGTTAATTCATTTGTCTATAAATCAAAGTATAAAAACGAGTGCGCACACTCGCAATGCACGAGGGGACTCACCTGATGGTACCGTCGACTGTCCCTTGAGCTCTCTTACCATCCAATATATATCTGATATTTGCTGAGATTGCAGTTTCTGAAATGACATTAGGAAGGCAAAATTCTTTCGAAAAGAAAATCTAGTGTGAAAATGAAATAGAAATATTATGAAAGGCTTTTTCAATATCCACAGCTATGAATACATCGCGAATGATGTAATACGAATGCACGTTAATTAAAGCAGATATTTTTCCCAAAACAGAAAAGAGAAATGAATACATACGTATATATGTATGCATGTATGTGTGTATGTATATGTACACACGTATATATTTTTCAGTCCATTTATTCATGGATGTATCTGTATGTATGTCTATATAAATAAAATAAATGGAATGTATGTGCTTATACACATACTTATATCGGTGGGCATATATATATACATATTCATATATACTGTACACATACACGCGCGCACATACATATACATACGTGTATGTATGCATGTATGAATGTGTATGTATATATATATATATATATAGTACACATATATGGGAAAGTGGAGATCATTCGGACAGTCGGATGATCGGAATAATGCACATACTGGGATTTTTTTTTTTTTTTTTTTAAGCGAGTTTATGTATTTTTCCAGCAATCGCTTGCTATATTTTAGATTTACATAGTAAGCTCTGAGCAAGTATGGTAGGTAGCGAAGTCAACATTATCATGGCAATTTGGTATTAGATTAAGAAAGAATTCCAAACAACAAAACTAATTATCTAAACCTCTTGCGCGAGGCTTGAGGAGACGCCATTAATTGCTGTTCTACATATGGGTTGATGTTTGAAGAGAAAGTTGATTCGTCAATGCCAAAAAATCATAATTGAATGAAATGATGATATTACTGCTCATAATCATCTATGATTTAATAAAACCTCTTCATTATGGATTAACACGCTCCTAGTAATTAAAAGTATTGTTTTCTTGTTTCACGATCTCCCCCCCCCCCCTCTCTCTCTCTCTCTCTCCTTCCTTCTCCTTTTCTCTTTTTCTTAACTCCTCCTCTCACTTACTTTTCTAATTCTTTCTCTCAATCTATCTGCCACTCGCCCACTCACCTCTATCTTTCTCTCCTTCCCCTTTTCCCCCCCCTCCTCTGTCTTTCACTTTCCGCCTCAACTTTTCTCTCTTCCTCCCGCCTCTCTTTCAAACCACACGCGCGCGCGTGTGCAAATGCATGCACACAGTCACACATATCACGACAAAAAACAGTGCTCTGTTGTTTCAGATATCAAGCGGTCAATATTTCTTTATTATCGTACTGGAGACTAAATTAACCTGCTGAATATATTGTTTACAGTAATACATTAGAACATTATTCATATTCCACAAAAAAATGCATCAATGTAGTTTCATAGTTTCATTGAAAATGAACATGTCAATGTAAAACCGAACCATCCCATTCCTCTGTCCGAACCATCACGTCGAGATAGGACGAACACACGCGCACACATATATACACATATGTGTGTTTCTAGGTATGCATGTGTATATATATGAATGCATAAGGATAAGCACATACATGCATATATGGTATATGTATGTGTATATATATATATACATATGAATATATGTGTGTATACATGTATAAATGTATATATACATGTATAAATGTATATATACATATATATGGAAAGAGAGACACACACACGCATATATATGTATATGTACAAATATATACATATTTATACTGAATATATACAAATATATGTATATATACATATCCACACATATATACATATATATAAATATATTATATAAATATATATATATATATATATATATATATATATATATATATATATATATATGTGTGTGTGTGTGTGTGTGTGTGTGTGTGTGTGTTTGCGGGCTTGTGTATTTACGTATGTAATGGGGATACGCAAATACATGCTTATGTAATATATATATATATATATATATATATATATATATATATATATATATATATATATATATATATATGTGTGTGTGTGTGTGTGTGTGTGTGTGTGTGTGTGTGTGTGTGTGTGTGTGTGTGTGTGTGTCGTGTGTGCGTGTGTATATGCATTTATGCATGTATATATATTTATACTATATATACATGGATATATATACATATATACATATATACTGTATATCTACATGTATATGTATATATATATTATATATATATATATATATATATATATATATATATATATACATTATATATATGTATACATATAAATATATATTCATATCTATACACATAAATTCATACATATGTATATATATTTATACATTTACATGCATATACATATATATATATATATATATATATATATATATATATATATATATATATATATATATATATATATACAAGCATGAATACACACATTCATATTTAATGAAGCTCAGAAAACTTGAATGGAATTGAAATCTATGCAGAAGAATGTTTCATTCTATTTGGAGATGAATGCTGACACATCCTCTGTTTGCTTTCTTATAAATCTACATATGATCAAATCAGATGAAATTAACGGATTCGAAATGAACGCATAAAAAATATGTTCTAATACGATATTTCATTTGAAGCAGAATCTCTTTTAGTCATAAGTATCTATCATCAGCTGAAATTGAAGATTTTTTGCCGATGGACAAATTTTGAATGGAAAACATAGCGTAAAAATGTTTTCACAGGTGGTGCTTTAGTAGGAACAGGAGTTCTTCATTTCCAAAGGTCGTACGGCATTCTGAGGGATATATAAACTTCGCGGACGATTTCACATCACCAGTGGTAGCTATCCTCGGTGAGTAACGATTCTCATACCTCTTACCTGTCTCATAATCCGTCCAATGTGCTATGGTATAATTCTTGCAACATATTTTATGTAGTATAAATGCGTCTTATAATGGATTATTATATTTTTTTTTCCCGTACCTATAATAATCCCCTTCGTTATTTTATCTCATTATTTCGTGGAAACTCTAAAGCGGGCTGTTTCGCACTAAGATTACTGAATAGGTTCAGGGTTTACGAAATGGATGTATTTCAAGATCTGTCAATTTCATACCACTTAATTAGTTATATTTCCTTCTAGATCACACCATGTTCACTTGGCTGATGCTCTCCTGCCTCTTAGGCTTCTCCCTGGCTGAGGTTCAGGTATGAAAACACTGTTGATATGCAAGTTATATATATTATATATATATATATATATATATATATTACCTTTCATGTCACATATACATTTCAGTTTCTCTCTCATACTTAATATTACAAAACATGACCGTTTTTCTTGGCAGGATTACCAAATATGTTACAAGGGAAACAGCGCCGCTGAAAACAGCTGCATGAAAGTGGATGTAGACCGCCTTGCCATGAAAATTCACTTCCACATGCCTGAATCCGACGACTTCGATGACGTGGAAACTCTGGAGGATTATAGTGTGGTAAGTAATACTTGTCAGGTCATCACTGGATACCATGATGAACTTTACGTTATTGTTTTTTGAACTGATAATGCATGAGAAATTCTTCAATTTGTTCAGTTGTATGAATTCGGGGAAATGACCATAAATATATAAAAATTTATGCACTTCGCAGGGTCTAGCAGCATCTCGAGTGGTGTCCCAGGAAGCGTGTTACGTGAGGCGACTGGTTAAATCTTTCGAGCAACAAGTAGCCTTCATCAAAGGCCATCAGGATGATGGCATGAGGGTTGAGTCTGACGTCAGAGTTTCCGCTGTTTCCCTCGACAATCCTGAGGAGGAGATCGGCTCGGATCTTGCCAACTTCTGTGCGACCTTCCCGTTTACAAACTGGTCACTGAAGAACAGAATGACAGTGTTCAAGACCGTCGTCAAGTGAGCGTCACCTTCACCCGCTGCATCCTGCTGTGTTTCATTCCCAGGTGCTTCACCACCACGCTCACTCTCCCCACTGGCTCCACCATCACCTTCGGGTGGCTCTTCTTCGGCTAAAAATTGTGTTAAGCAATATTGTTCGCTTCCACTACGGGCAAATAGAAGTCTCTATTACCTGTCTCGATGATGTACACTTACTTGTGATTAAAATTTATTGCATTTCAACCTGTTTTTAGGATTTCTTATTTCCATGAATATTAAAAAATGATCTAGAAAAACTAGTCACTCGCATATATAGACTTACACGCATTTATATATATATATATATATATAATATATATAATATATATATATATATATATATATATATATATATGTATGTGTATGTATCTATACTTATATATATATATATATATATATATATATATATATATATATATATATATATATATATATATATATATAATATATATTATATATATATATACGTACATATATACATGTACATATATGTACATATATATAAGCGCCCTTCAGATATCGTCTTCCTTTCTTAGCATCAGAAAGAATTCCTTTTACCTTTGTGATCGCGAACATTATGAACGTTCATGAAAACTTTAGGTATAGGTATATTAGGCCTAATTTTCTCTCTTTTTATTAACTTTCTCAGGAAGCGTATAGAAAGAGTGCACTTAATGTGAATTGTGCGCTCCTTGAATGAAAAGTGCGCTCGGAAGAAATTCAGCGCAAAGCAAACTCAGCAGTCTGGTATATAAATGTATTTATGGATATACATACATACGTCCGTACATACATATGTGTATATCTACATACGTAATACATAAATGAATATACATATACATACATGTGTGTGTATGTATGTATATATGAATATACACATACATATATACAAAAGGGCTTCAAAAATTCGTTGAAATGGAGCCTTAAAGACTACCTGAGGAATACATGAATTTTATTTTTCAACACAGGTTCCATCAAGATCAATACGCATTTCTAAGTAATTGTTTCTAAACAATGAGGGACTTAATCATCAATTAAAAGAAATGGATTTTGTGTTATCATTTTTTTCAGACTTGGAAAGACAAGAAATGAGAGAGAGCCAAATCAAGTCCGTTGGGTAGATGCAAAAGGTTTTCCATCGAAACTCACAAACCAGCAGGAAACACGGGAGGGAGCTGAACCGTATTCATGTTGACAAATGTAGAAGGTATGAATGAGAATAAATATCTTCACGATACAGGAGTTGTATTTGACTGGTTTTGAATACATCTTCGTCGGAAATACATGGGAGGGAGCATTGCTATGGAGAAAGAGGCAGTGGCGTGCTGGCAGGAGGGCGGGAGGAGGCTGCCCCTCCTGCCGATAAAAATGAGGAGTGCTAAAATTAATTTTCACATGTACTGGGGTGCGCCTTTATTCGAAAGTGAAACCTGAAAACATGAATGCAAAGGATCGTAATTTACGTACACATGAGCACTCGTGTTCACCTATTTATCACTAAGGGTACTTGCTATGCTGGGTTGGGACCTGAGTGATTTTTCTCTAACCTCGTGACCTCATGTACTTCATAGTTATCTTTCTCGACCATTTTGCACAATACTATTTTTGCATTTATGTTTACTTGTGCCACTTATATGTTTGTCTGCCTATGATCACAAGACTGGCGGGATAGTAGTGTGGCAGGGTTTTCAGATTGTTACTTCCTCTCGTTATGCCAGTGGGCCATCTTGCCACTGGGCACGGGACATTGTTACTTATTAGCAAGCTGCACAGATGCCATGATCTTGGGCGCCGTGTGTCTGATTGCAATGCTGCGTTCGAAACTCCTTGCCCTGCTCGTCCAGACCAGTTGGACAAGATGTCTTCACCGTTCGGAACCTCTACTTTCCCGTCCTGGACAAGTTGTCCATCTCGTCCATCTCGCCCTCCTGTGAAGTGGGCGAGCTGGAGATGGCAATAGCTTTTCTATGTAAACATTGGAAGTTGCAGGCAACCACAAGGTATTGATTGATAATTTTATGGCCTTCAAAGAAGTTACAAAACCTATGCAGCGTGTAAAATAAAGATACCGGTATGATAAATGAGTGAATGTTTACATTCGAGCTGGTTGCATTCTGGGCAGCGAGTGTCTTGGAGGTTCCAAACGCGGCATCGTTGTCCTGCTGCTCTTGGACAAGTTGCCTGGATGAGCAAGACGAGGAGTTCCGGACGCAGCATAAAGCCTAGCTACACGTTCTTACGATAATGTTCAGGCTGACCGTCGCCCCCTCCCTCTTGGTTTTATGGGACCCCAAAGGTATGTCGGTATGTCGCCTAAGTGCGGACAGTGGTATGATGTGCTGGCTTGTGTGAGAAATGTACTGCTATAACTGATTATACTGAAGCAAGATGTTTAAGTTTACATAACGATTTTTCTTCTGAGTAGAATAATATTTCCGATGGGATTTAAATCACTAAAGTGTGTAACAACCAAAAACATAATTGTTATTGTGTGTTGATGTTTCAGACTCAGACATACTTAGTCCATACCAAATGTGTCCTCTTTGTATCCACTCCTTCTAGTCATCTGTACATGTACATATATATACATATACATACATACATATATGTATGTATATATATGCGTGTATATACACGTGTCTATGTGAGAGATTGTTTATATGTACTTATTTATGTATGAATATACTCACAAATATATATATATATATATATATATATATATATATTATATATATATATATATGCCAAATCATAAAATTTTCCCTTTGGGGGAAAAGGAGAACTAAGCGAGGTTTAATGATTGCACGTTTACCTCTTCACATATTTACTGGTCTATAAAGCCTCAATTTGTAAAACCACGCATTTTTCGTATCTAGATTCATAAATGTGGTAGACAAATTTCATGATTGCAATACTTTATTTGTCTCTCCCATACACTCACAAGTTTCTTCAGTATCATTC